CAGAGAGCTGCTGTTATGTTATAATGTGAAACATATATATATATATATTAATTAAGCCAAATATTTACAGTATTATTCGTCCCAAATAAAAATAAAAAGTATGCGCACCTAGCTAGATTGAAACTGCTATCCAATTTCTTTCGTTTTAGCTCACATTTTCTTAACATTTTCTTGCTATAAGATAGAATGAGAAAGAGAGAGAGAGAGAGAGAGAAAGAGAGACCTTGTTCTTTTAATTTTAAATGATCGATTTCCGGTTTTGCTTGAGATTCTAGCTAATGTTGCACTCGCAGTAAACAAATATTTCTATCGGATATCGGATGTCTATCATGGCTAAAAAACTTGCGATATCTCATTCTTCTTTGAGTTTTAGAATGCATAAAAATCATTTTCTCGCGGTAATATCTACCCGAACGCGAACGTTGTACCGATCGTACAATGTATTAATAGTATAGCGATAGAAAGCTATTCCTCCCTTCAAGATGAAATACTTTTTATTAATCTTCCAATTATCCGTATATATATATATATATATATATATAATCCGTATGCATGTACCTTCCATTTTTTGTGACGATCATCTCGTTCGTGATACACTGGAATCTGGTCCAGAGCTCCCGATCTTCCAGCGACAAAGACAGCGGCAATCCTGGATTCCCCGAGATCGCGGCAGGAGGGCCGAGATTTTGTCTCGCAATCGAACCCCGCTCTTCGCGATCCTCTCGATCCTCCACAGGACTGGTCCGATTCTGCCTTCCGCCGCGATCTCGCTCCTGCTCGCGTTCCCTTTCGCGCTCGCAATCGCGCTCGTGGCACGAAGAATGCGTTGGAGAACCCGGCGTTCGCGGCGCGCCCGCCGGTTGCATCTTGAGTGTTCTCCAATACGTCACCTTGTATACTTTGATCCTTTCACCCTCTCCGATATATTTTCAAATTAAAAATTCAACCGAGATTTCGACTCTTGATCGAGAATAACAAGATAAACTGTTGTATGTACAAGAAAAAAAGAAATGTACGAAAACTAAACGCGACGCGGTATATTTTCCAGACAGACTCACAGCAGGAGAGGGGGATGTGAAAATTTGCTTTCGCTGTTGATCGATTTGCAGATTCGAAATTCGCGACGTCTCACGAGAAAAACGGATGTGATCTTGCAGAGGACAGCGGAGGGGGATGGAAAAGCGTCGTTCTCGTCGCGGCACCAGACGTCTCCGTCGGCGGCGGAGGATAGGAGAAGCCGCGCCGCGTGGCCGTAGGCTCGTAACACTTGGGCGCGATATTTCACACTAGCCGGCGAAGACTCGCCGAAGACTGACCGGCGGTATATCTGCCTCTCTGTTCTCGCTTCGCGTCCTCTCTTTCTCCGTTCCTCAGTGGGTACGCGGCCGTCGCGGCCGTCGCGGCCGTCGAGAGAGGCATCGGCTGGAGCCGCGTTCGCGCTTGCCGGGTGCTAATTACTCGCTAAATTAGGAGCTCACGGGTGCAGCATGGCGGTACCATTACGGTATCCATTGGTTGAGGTCGATTTGCCGGTCGCCGCGTCGTCACTACGGCGGGTACCGCCTTCGATGTCTTGCCTCTACCAATGGACGAGTGAGTCGTCTTTACAAATCCACCGTGATTGGTGAGTTCGACAACAAACACGTCGTTCGCTAGTCCGCCCACGTCGCTGGTCGCCGGGTTCTCGATTAGTCCTTACGGACAACGTACGCGGATCCGCACGTGGTGAACCGAATCGTTACCCGTATAAATCGTCCTTTTATCAAATGTCGGTCGCGAATTTGTCTTGATCGAAAATATAAACGTTGCACGACCGATGGGAAGGAATCTTACCATCTTACCAAGGTCGCAAGGAAGTGTTCATCTTCGTGGAGCGAAATCACGGCAACGCGACATGTCACCTCTACGAGTTAATATTTGCGTTTGTTGCGCTCAGGAAAGTATGCGATATGTATTTGTTCCTCGTGAGAGATATAAGTGTTGCTCTCGTTGACGAGGCATAACGGACCTCGGCGCATTGCCGCGCTGAAAAAACTTGAGAAATCGTTTTTCTATCAGTTATTCTAATTTCTATTTAAATATTCATTTTTAATACAAGATAGCATTAATCTCCATAGCAAAAAATGAATAAGAATTAAACAGAACTAATTACTTTTTTCTTCTTCGTTATGTGGTTACCGTCAACAAGCAATTTGTTTAAAAATGAAAAGTGATTACACTCTGTGTTTGATTGCACTCTACTTCCTTTTATATTATAACTTGTTTTTGAAAGGAGGATGTTAAGTTTTTTGGCTGTTCATCGACCAAAATGAGAAAGTTCTAAAATGTACAAATTATATATTAATTATATATTATAAAAGGTTACTTAAGCGGAGTCGAGTGATATAGCGTTTATCTTATTGAGGAAACATCAAGAATAATAGGAGAAATTGCGTGATAAAATCTAATCATATTTATTGATAAAAAATTGTTAAGTAAAACATCAAGACATCCCAGGAGTTAATAAATGTATTATTACTTAAATACTCGAGTGTTATGTATTTAAATAAAAGAAGTTCGAAGAGATTTTCGAGAGATTAAGAATCCAATACAAAATAATAAATTATTTGATTTCGAATTCTAGATTTGAACAACGAATATGCTTAAGTTACACGTGTTTAAATACTAACAATACAGTCTGTGTTGCTTAAATTCTAGAATATGGTATGTTGATGAAATCTAAATTTTTAGATTTTTATTATCTTTGATATACGACTTCTTCCATGTTTCCGATATTTCCTCGTCATAAGCGATACATTACTTGATTCTATTTAAGGCTCGGCTTTTTTATTTTTTCGTTAACTTGTGGTTAAGCTCAACAACCTGATGTTTTGTGTCCAATAAGCTTCATTTATGATAATGTCATTTATGATGAAGCCCATTGAGTGAAACATCAGATTGGGCTTAACCACAAGTTAACCAGATAATGAAAAATCGAGCATTAGTATCCCTTTAATGTAATTAAACTTAATTCACGTCTCGGAACATTTTCATTTTAGAAAAACTTAACATTCTCCTGTATGTATTGTATAATACAAGATTTTGTAAGTATTTCAATAATTTACTTAAAATCTCGTGATTCACTTCTCGGAAAGGAAATTCATGAAATTGATTTGTAGTAATTTCGATATTTGTCGATTATGAAAATGGAATTCCTCGCCTATCACAAACGAAACGATCGGAGAGGGGAGGGGGGGGGGCGAGGAATAGGAATATGTTAGTCGTCTGGAGTCAAATGACAAAAATCAACAGAACACCGTTCGACCGGTCGCACGACGCATCGCGAGCAGATATTTGAGGAGGACCGTTGTCTTGTTTGCCATCGCGCACGGTTTCGGAGTTCGGACAGCAATCGCCAGACGTGAAGACGGCTGTAACCCTATCGGTTATTTGTGCTAACAATTTCGTGCGGAGAGCACGTACTCGTGATCGTCCTGGTGCCGCGACATTGCCGGAGGCCGAGAGCGGAGCTATCTTTATTGAAATCCGAGGTTGTCGAAGGTAATTACTTAATGTTCAGCCTGACTGCATCTGCGATTATTTGCCAAAAATACCGTCAGTCTCTGAGCCGTAAACTGCGCGGTGACATCAATCGCGAGATCTTCTCAAAAGTATATATGAAGTCGAAAACGAAAGTGTCATTTTTATTCTCCAAGTACTATCCACATCCGGTAGTCGTAAAAAGACAAGAACTTTTTAGGCCGTTTAACTTTCAACGTATAGATGTTTGAATGCGAGTTACTTATAAAAAAAAGTTGTATACAGCTACATAAAAAGAAAAGGATGCTAGTTCCTTCGGGTCTAATGCTGACGACTTTCTAGAAGCATGAGTATCAATTGTAAAAATTATAACTTTTATTAAAACTTTTAAAACGTTTACTATCTTATATCTTTCCTACATCTTTTTACAACAAAAAGATGCTTTCTTTTTATCTGTTGATCATAATCTTCAATATAACACACATTGTAGAGTTAGGCTATTCATCTTGTCTTAGTTCTTTCGACTGGTTTCGATACGACACACACTTGGAAATTAAGAGATTTCGAAGGTGGGTTATGTCCGTCCTATCCGCTGCACGGTGGCGTATCATAAAAATTTTACCTCGAACACGACTTCTACGCAACCTGCACAACACTGCAAAGGTGTTTACGATAGGGGTATGCTTGATTATTGCTACCTGCCGCGCTAGGTAGTCCTCAGGCACGAGTCGGGAGGTCTTCGGCATTCATTTATACTGTTTGAGGGATACCGCTACAGTTACGACCGCTTTGATAAACCGCTTTTTTGACGTTCGTCTATTTACAAATTGTATCATTCGCCGAACATTTTTAGCGGAAGTTGTGCGTTCCAAACGTCAAAAGCGACGACGTTTACCGGGCAAATATGTCGTCATCTTCCAAAAAGATCTTTCAATTTATTATAATGTTTTATCAATCAAATCATTGTCAATCAAACCAAGAATAAATTTACGATAGAATAAGATATGCAGAGTTTTAAACATTCAGAGTCATTTATTACGTGATATTGCAAGTTGATGCAGGAAAAAATGGTTTTACTGAAGTATCTAAAAATTTAGCTAGGTATATATAGATGAGAAAATAATTTTATTGAACTAGCAAAATAGTATGTAGGACGTTTAAACTGAATATAATTGCTAGAATATAAAAATATCTTGCAACATTGCTTAACATGCTTGAGTTTCTTACATAATTATTTTGATAATCCAAAAAAATTATTTTCGGATCCTATACAGTTACATTTTTTAATATTTCAGTAAAATCATTCTTTTCATAAATTCGTATAATGAAGAAAAGAAAAAGAACAAAGAGTCTAAGAATTAAGATAAGAAATATATCGCAAATGCCAATTTCTTAAAATTATATGTTTAAATCAATTGTGATAACTCAAGTCGTTGCTTAACAAATAAAATGTTTGAATATTTAAACGAATTACTGCTTAATTATTAATAACGGTACCAACTGCTGATTTTCTTTAATTTTTTTTCTCGTTAGATTTATACGTGTCCAAGTCCAGTGAATTTTTATCCTGATTAAACTTCAGATTGACAGTTTCGCGTTCTTGTTGAATATCGGGATCTCTCGACTCATCTACGCTGATGGTGGCATAGTTTCGTCGTGCACGATCACTAATGATTCTTTCGTATCCCATATGATTACCAAGCAACATCGGGAACTCCGTCGGATGCGGAATCGTTGCTTTTTGTCGGATCCACTTTGTCTGATTGGAATAATCCACTAAAGCCGCGTAAGTCTGCGTAATTTCATGGAAAATGAAATTAAAAATCCTTAGTGTCAATACTCAAGTTCCATAATTAATAATATGACTAATTGTAATTTCGTGAGAAACTTAATGTTGAAATTCAGTAGATATAATCTGAAAGTGATATTAAAATTCAATATCATTTTTACCACAAGGCCATCAGGAATTCTGGCTATTGCGTGTCCGGTCTGCGTGAACCAACAATACTCGTTGGGCAAAATATGCGATATCAGTCGTCCATCTTCTGTGAATCCGTGAATAGTATTGGCTCCTAGGATACCGTAGGATTTCGATGGAAAGGGAAACAGCAAGGGAGTCGTCAAGTAGGCTTCCGGGATCAACTGGGAAAAAAATAAGACGTACCATTTTGTTTTTGTTTTTTTCTTTACTGTCGCATAGACATCCGTTTCTTTTAATTTTGTCATACTGCTCGCGATCGTCCCAATCGAATGAGAGTAAAGTTATACATTTTTCAATGTTGATCTTTATGTCCATCTTATATCACAGGACAATTATACCGCAAATGTCAATTTATCTACATATTCAATATATTTTTCATTTTAAAAGGACATTGTGTCTTTAATATTCTCGACATCAAAAACTTTTGACATTTGTGGTACTTACGTTGCATAAAACATTGTAGGTCTGTTGTATAGGTCGGTTTGTTCTATCATCTTTAGCTACCGTTGCTTATGATATTGTATCACACAGCGTACATTTACGTTCGTCTGATTAATTATTTAAAACACAGTATTCTCCATTTAAAGTTATCTGTATCTTCCAACATGCACAGTACATCAACGCCAAGGAGGTTTTCTTATCATGTCGCATACTATTGATATCTAATTCAGAATTACTCCGATTTTCGTCCTACGAGGATAAAAGTCATTTTTTGATTATGATATTTACGCACACTCCAATTTGACAGCTGTTTAAATATGTTTTGTAAGGCGTGAGATTATGCTCATTCCGTTGCAAGAAGTGGAATATATTTTTTTTTCAATTTTATATATATATATTGTATATGTGTACTAATATACATACTTTCATTCACATAGTCGTACTATTCTGTCGAATATATTCCACGTTTTCGGAGCGGAAATGTGGCGTTTTGCTTTCACTCGCGAGCGATCGCATGAACAGAATGAGGGAAGTTGTTTTTACGCGACCATACGTAGGACGTAAGAGCGCGACGGTGAACGCGACATAAAAGTTTGTCGTTTAATTTTTGGTCCCATCGTAGGTACAGGGTATCCGGCACGAATTTATCCCGAATTAACTGGTCGATATAAGACTATGACGCAAGTTATAGATATTAGCGCGTATTAAGAATCTATCGGCAAATAACACTTCATTGTAGATTAGAGTGGAAAACAGACACTTTTGCCAAAAGCATATAGGTATCGAAGAGTGTTAATTTAATTGGTCTATTAATTATTAGTTAATCGACTAAAATTAATTGGCAGTATGTGCAGAGAAAGAAAAATGTGTATAAAATTGTATTAAGCGTCAATTAATTTTAGATGGACCAAAAGAGGAAAATTATTCGGGAAGAAATGTTCAAATGCAGATTCTTAATACGAACCACCGTGCATGCCCCTTCGCAATTATTTTCCAGAAAC